TCACAGGCTGGAGAGTGAAGAGTCATATGGTTTCAAAGTTGGTAGAAGCATTGAAAGACACTCAACAGCCTTTAGGGTCAGGTGGTCCATGTGAGGTAGCCCCTGGTGGCAGACACAGAGTCCCAGGGAAGGTGAAGTGTCAGAGAGAGAGAGAGAGAGAGAGAGAGAGAGAATTTCCCAGTGTCTCTCACTCTTATAAAATAAAAGGTTCATGACACCAAGAAAGTGTTATCAGGCACTGATAATAGGTTGCACTTTGGCCCTAACCAGGAGTGTCTAGTTGGCAGATATCTAACTAACAAAAGGGCTTTCCTCTTTTTTTTAAATTAAAAAAATTGTTAATTAAAGCAGAAGAAGATCTAAAGAGAGGCATGGAATTATAGATGTCTAGCTAAGGCAGGAAGGAGGGCAGTGAGAGTATGCCAATGGATTGAAAGTCATAAGTCTCCTTTGCTAGTTCCAGGGTAGGTTGGCCTCTTATTTGGGCTGAAAAATCACCACAAAAAGAAAAATAATACGAAGAACCATATTAAGGATTAGAGGTGGGTAGGCATTTGAAGAGACTTAGCCCATCTTTGAACCCTAGTGGTATATTGGTTAAAGCACTCAATCACTAATGGTAAAGTCAAGGGCTCAAGCCCACCAGGTGCTCCATGGGACAAAGATGTGGTGACCTGTTTCCATCAAGATTCCAGAGCCTTGGAAACCTTATGGGGCAGTTCTACTCTATAGGGTCACTTTGAATCAGAATCAACTTGATGTCTATGGGTTTTTGTTTTTTTAGCCCATTCCAGTTAGGTGTTTTTTAAATCATCCCAGGCCTTATGGTGCTGTCTCCACTGACAACACTTGACACTTATAACCACTTGTTTGAAAATTCAGCCTCACAAAATGGGTGCATAAGCAGATGTGGTGAAGACAGAGGATGTTTCCTGGCTATTATAAGATATATATATAGTGTATGGAGTCTTAAAGGCTTGAAGTTAAATAAGCGGCCATCCAACAGTGAAGCAACAAGCCCACATGGAAGAAGCATGCCAGCAGGTGTGAACGTGAGGTGTCGAGACTGGGCAATGGGCATCAGAAGATTCACAACAAACAGTAAACAAACAAACAAAAATGCATTGGTGAGAATAGTGGGGGGTTGGAGTGGAAACCCAAAGCCTATCTATGGACAATGGTCATCCCCCCACAGAGGGGTCGCAGGGAGGGGGTGAGTCAATCAGGGTGCAGTAGAGCACTAATGGATCATGCAATAAACCTCTGTTTCCTGGAGGCCTCCTCACCCCGCGCTATCATGATCTCACTGCCAC